TAAATTTTTATTTTGTCCCAATAAGCAAGTAACAAAGCCTAGTAAAAAATGGCAATGACAGATTCAAAATTCTTCTTGAATCTGTTTCTTACTCACTTGAATTTAAATGTATTTTCTTAGAGTTGAACATAGAATGTGGAATCATGTCTAGTATCCTGAGAATTATTCATTATCCTAGGTTTTTTGGAAGGCCCAAATATCTTTGAAAGGATAGTGACAACTCACAATTTCATGGGAGGCTGGAGAAACACACATTAAAACTTCCACAAACAAAGGCAGCTAAAAAGAATATGATGTGCAGAGTACATATAGTCTAGTGTCCCCTGGGATATAAGAAAATAACAAACCCTTGAAATGTTTTGCCCTTCTATTTCAGTTTTTGTTTCCACAGAAAAATCATCTCAATAAGCATGGCTTTGATCACATATTGGTCCTTACCTCCCTGAAAGCCAATCAACTGAATATGGTCAGCATAATTGAAATCCGATAGGAGGAAGACACTTATTATCAACGGGGTGTAGGGCCTCACAATGAGGGTGAAGTGTAGGCCACCAGCTGACACCAGCAAAATTATCTTTAAGGAATGGAGATAGTCATGCTTGGGACGGAATACGACAAGCCAGTTGCAAAATGATAAACAAAAGTTTGAGAATCGCTTTTTTCAAATTACTGAAAACCTTGGTATAAATGCTTCTCAGATAGCAAAGAATTGATCTTACATTTAATCTGAATCAGTGTTAAAGACTGAAGGAATTGGGCATGGGCCTGCCGCTAGACTGAGCAGACGACCTAACACCTGAACATCTTTCTTTTAATGATAACCCTGTGAACATTTTGTATCACTCAGAAGGGAATTGGGGAAAGCAGCACAGTACCTGATGGATTAATGCACTGTCTCTTGGAGCCTTGGGCCCCACATGCCAGAGTTAACTGCCGGCTCAGCAGACCTAGCGGGGAAATGGGTCATAACTCCACCCTGGCTGTGGCAGTCTGTTGTGCCTGGTGATTTGGAATCTGATGACTCAAAGACAACATCCCAGGTAGCAGCTGGCTGTCTTTGGATTTCTCCTTTCTCCTAATGTTCCATTAACCTCTCACAGCTGGCTTCCCTATGCAAGATCAGCAGTTCAGCTAATCTTTCCCTGATCTCTCCCATTCTTGCAGGAGACTTATCATTAATACATTCTCCCTTTGCTCCCTGTTCGCTCTCGGCCCACCAGTGCTCTCTATCAGACGTGCTGTGCCAGCGGCAATTCATCCCGCTGTCTGCTCCCCGCAGCTTTGTTGGGCTTCAGCACTGTTGGGCCCTAAGGCAATGGATGTCTGAGCCCATTAGAGTCTGGGTTGGAGGCAATGTGAGGATATCTACTCCGGTAGGAACATGTTGAACCTGCATTTCCTCACATTTGTCCTGCTTACAAGCCACTACTCAGTTGAGGCCCCCTCCCACAGCTATGACTAAAGTTGCGATAATAAAAATCTCAGCGACAATGGTTGATAAAATTACAATAGCGTTATAATAACAGTGGTCTATTTCATATATGGAGTGTTAACTGCTGGATCTGATCCCAAAGCTACATGATTAAATTCTTACAAAATCTCTATGAAATAGGTAATATTGGTGAGGATATATCAGGTCACAGAAAGTTTAATGAAGCTGCCCAAGGCCAACCAACCAGTGGGGAAAACCTGATACTTGATCCTTGCTTCCCTATTTCCTTTATAACTTGAGGTTTTTAATCATCATAGATAACAAATTTATAGCTACTAGTTATTTTGCTTGGGGTTCTACTTCACAATTAAGCAGAGCTTGACACTGAATTCATTAGCAAGGTGGATATAAATTAGTGCAGTATAGTTGAGCCTGTAGTGCATTGACTTGGTAAGAATTTAAAAATAAAATATGAAAAGGAAATGGAAAAAGAATTTCCCAAGTATGATCCTCCAGATTACCAAGGATATCTGCTCCCTGTCTTCCACTTTTAAGGGAAATGTAGTTGGAAAGGTTTCAGAAGCAGGGATGTGAGAAGTGAGGCTGAGTAGTGTTGTTAAGAGGTAGAGGAGGCATGACTCTAACCACTCCCTACGAAGGGCTCTGCATGGCGTGGCCCTCCGTGCAGCTGCACGCTTTCTTACTCTCTGTCCTAGCCAAACGGTCCTTTCCGATACCCTTCAGCATTCAGCATTTATATTTTTTCCACTCACTGTTTTCTGAGCCTGGTCAGCTCTTCACTTCTCTTCTCTTCCAAGTCATTCATACTCATCTTCAGAGTTCGGTTCCAGTGTTGCCCCCCAACCAAAGCCTTATCCAATGGGCCAAAGGTATGTCATCAGCTCTTATGTTTTTCTGTGTCTCTTCTTCCTTGCTTATATCAGTCATAGTTTTATGTGTTTATTTTGTGATCTTGATTAATAATCATTTGATCAATAGACTAGGTAATCCGAAGAAGACTAGTACCATGCCTACTTACCTGACATTCTACTTTCAGCAAATACCTGACACATTGCAGATACAGAATCATAATACCTCTTTTATTGAGAAAAAAGGAAACGTTTTTCAATTGATAGAAGAGACAGATATTGCAAACACTCTTAGTGCTTGCTCCTATCAGCTTGGCAGGGGAAGGAGGTCAGCTGTCTCCACCCACGCTGATAGCTCCATCTTTTTGCCTAACTCCATTGTCACATGGACATGGGAGGGTGTTTGTCCTTTACACCGGGAAATTTAGAAGGACCCGTATATAAACAGTTATAGGGAACAACACAGAGTGGGAAATTCAAGTCTGGAGATAAATAATATAGTTTCTTTACACCTCAGTGGATGCATGGGAGTGAAACAAGTCAGTCATTCACAGTCAAAACTCTCTGTCAATGGTTCTTTTCATCACATTACATTACTTGCTGCCCACCCCCACCCCCCACCATGGTAGATCTTTGGGCTGCCTCTAAGAGGATTACTTGGATTACTTCAGTCCTTTCTCCTAAGCTGTGATTTGGGAACTCATGTTAAGACAAAAAGGAAAGGGAAAATATATGAAAGTAGGAAAAGAAAAGAAGGAAACATGCAAAACACAAATGGAGAAAAAAGGAAGAAAGGAGGAGGAAAAAAACATCTATAAGTATCTACAAGAGAAAAAAGAAGAGAAAGTAATAAAGCAAGGAAGAAATAGAAAAGCAGAAAAGGACAGCAGGAAATAAAATTGAAAGGAAGAGGAGAAACAGAAAAAAGTGAAAATGAAACAAGAGGGAGAAATGAGAAAAAATTGTGAAGGAGGAAAAGAAAGCAGGAAATAAATCTGAAAGGGTAAAAAGGAAGTAAATATGAGGGAGGGGGAAAATAAAAGGAAGAGAGCAGAGGAAAGGATAGAAGATAGGACAAGAGAATAAAGGGTAAAGAAAGCATTAAAGAAGAAAAAGACACAGGAAGAGACTGAAAGAGAGGAAGCAGAAAGGAATATTGAAAGATCTTTAGTTGCAAAACAACAGGGAAAAAAGAGGGGGAGCATGAGGATTCTGGCTGATGGCAAAAAGCATGCTGGAAAATACCTTTTTCTGAACAAACTGAAATTATTGCCCTATTCTCTGCCCTAAAAAAAAAGTATTTCTTCCTGATGGGTTAGGGAGTCCAGGCAAAGAGCACGTCCTGAGCTAAAGCAGGAAGGTGCTGTTCATCTTGTTTACATCTCAAAGGCCAACTTGTCACCCCATTGTGTATGTCAGGTTCTCTCTACACAAACACACAGGCACACACACACACAGACACACACACACTCTTGGGGTTTCTGGTTGTTCCTTAAAGAAGGACAAGCTTGGGAAGTATTGGTTGTGCAGCTACAAAAGCACAGATTAAGTAATCTCCACTTTGGCGTCTCAGTGCATCTGACAGTTAAGACAGGTGTAATGTGCATTCTCCAGGCCAGAGGAACACTCAGTGAAACACAAGTTTACTGAAGCAAGACGCATGCCTGTCACAGGCATGACACGTCCACTGGCGATTAATATACTCTATTTGTAAGTGTGAAGTCTCCTTCTGTCACCAGGTAATCATTGATTGCCCAGCCACTTTGAAATTAATTTTGCTTTCAGTAATCTTCAACTTAAGTATGTTTTTTTTTCCTTTCTCATGTAAAAAAGAGGAATAATATAACTCTGGGGAGAGAAATAGGAACCAAGGACCTGCATTTTGGATCAGCTTTGCCATAAATTAGAAACCACTTCTTTCCTCTGTGCCTTTCTCCAGAACTCAAGTTAGATTAATTCAGAAGTACTCATGGTGGTATAACTGCAGCGCTTTCTGGACTGGGTATAAGGGAAAGGGATCGATTCCTCCCTTTGGCCATGCTTTCTTCAAAGTAGTCCATTTTGAGCACTGAGTGGACTTATTCTTGAGATATTTGAAGAAATACTCTGCTACAATGTTAATACACTATTAAATATGTATGCATTTATACTATATTGTTAAAAATGCTTCTATGCATATATAATTTTATACTTATAAATTATAAACAAATACACAATTATACTATCATAAAATAATATTAAATCTTCCTTAAAGCTCCTTTGAGTCTAAATTTACTCCACTGCTATAAACAAGCAAGTAAAACATCCCCTAAAAGGAATCTGAAGCCAAAGTAACATTTTCTTCAAAAGGGAGTAGATAGATCGAACTTAAAGGGGAAATATATCGAGACATTATACCACTCCTGATAATTGTGTTTCTGTAGGTTGGATTATTCCTACAATCCTTTCAACTCCTCCTGCTCCCTGAGAGGATCCCAGTAAGCTTTCCAAGGAGTGGATGAAGCTGTGTCTTTAGAAGGCGGCTTAAGGAATTGCCACCTTCCCTTCCCTGTGCTCTTATCAAAATGTCACAGGAGCGCATGCAGAGATGATTTCTCTCTCCTTCCACACGTATTAGCCTGGGTCTGTGGATGAGATGCCTATCACAGAGATAGAAAGAAAAGGAAAAATACAGCGAAATACTTCTTGCCTTCAATTGCCTTTGTGATTTGTCCAGGCCAGAAGGGAAGTCAGAAACATTTCTCCAGGTTGGCAGTTTCCAAGAGATCCTGCAGAGAACAGACAAGCAAAGGGGTCAAGGAGGAAGCAGCTCCTGGGGCCCCTCCAGCTCCAGCAGGAGTCTTGATCAGTCCATTAAAGGAGCAGGAAAAGGTGAATGGTGTGGAGGATAAGAAATGCCACGGTGTGTGGTAGTTCCTTGCTTACTGGATAACTCCAGTTTGATTTTGAAAAGGTCGCTGGGTAGGTACCACAACTGTGTAAAAAGGGAAGTACTCCTGGGTGCTTATGAATTCCAACAAACATTTCACCATTTCTATGACTTGGCGGGACAGAGGACTAGTGTTTTGTTTGTTCTGGAGTTTGCAGGCATGGCCTCTTGCACCAGGCTTTAACTCACAGCTGTGGATGACAGTGTCTAGGGCCCCAGAATCCCTTCCCTTTTCCAACCTAGATGGAATCCTTCATCCCTTAGATGAGAAAATTCTCTATTTGCAAGTGGCCTGTTCTGAGCAAGAGAATTCTATGAAATTCTAATCCTGTTAAACTTAGAATGTTCATTCTTTTGTCCGTAAAGGAAATTAGAAACTCAACAACAAAATTATGATAAATTTAAAACATTTTGCATCCTGACTTTATCTTTTAGGAGCTGGATGACCATGGACAGATTGTTTCTTCTAACACTATTTTCTTACCTGCTTGTGAAGTGCTAAATTATATCAAAAGATTGCACACTTGTAATTTTTGCATATTACCTGAAATATAGTTTCTTTAGTTGTGTTATTAAAAAAACTCAAAACACTCTTTTCTCTCTCACTAGTTTATTGGTACATTTTAGGTTGACAGTACAGTTGCATTCGTTATTGGGATCTTGTACCTTTACATCACAGGTCTTGGTTCTCATTTTTCCCCTTGTCCCTGCCCTCCCTTCACTCTCTCCTCCCCTCCCCATTTACAAATACTTTATTTCGATTTTTTCATTTTCCCGTATTTTTTCTTTTTTTTCCCAAACACCCTTCATTATAGTGTAGAGCTAAACCAATAATCCTTACAACAAGATTGAAATACTTTTGAGGTGTCTCGGTTCAAAATAGGTTTTGTTTTAAAATAATAATTCATTTAAAGTATTACTTGTTCGGGATTGGGTCTAGATGTTCCTGCAAAGCCTCATGCAGTCACAGGTGGGTGAATCTCTAGTGTGTGATGCTGCAGTAAGGGTGTGTGATTACTAAACCACTACATGTGAGTGACTGGCTTGGCACCACCTTAATCCAGGAGTCTGAATAAGATAAAAAAGAAGAGGAGAGACACTGCTGAGGTCCCCTGGTGCTTTTGCTGTCTCCCATCACCGTTAACTGTTGTTCCTCCACCATGTACCTTGCAGCCAGCCCATTAGGGACTGAAACCTCCACAAACTGCGAGCCAAATATGCGTCTTCCCCTTTAACTTTGGGTGTTGGGTATTTTATCTCAGCAACAAGGGTAAGGTAGCTAAGGCACTACTCAGTCTTCATTTCAGTATAATTATAATTTCTATCCATTACAATCTAATTAGAAATATTGTATATGACTTGCATGCCATGCAAAGTTTGCTAAGGAGCAGGGAGCCAGTGCAGGTATTTTGAGTATGAGATTCACTAAGATGTTGAATGAGCACTTAATATGTGCTTACCATGTGGCAGACAGCATTATGGAAATGGAAACAAAAGAATGCAACTGAAAGAGCTCGTAGTTTGCAGTTTTATGATTGTATAATAATAAGAAGAGACGCTTTATAGCGAATAGTAATTTGGCAGCAGAGTTCAGGGATTTAATAGCATTAGAAGTGTATTTAAGCAGGGGAGCTAGTTAGGAAACCATTACATTGACTCAGGTAAGGCACAACAATTTGCTGTATCATACTAAAAGAGTCAACAAAAGAAATCCATGGTTTGGATTTCATGATTTCAAATCATGGTGGGAGTTTGAGCTATTTCAGTCACTATGGAAATCAGTAGGTAGGTTCCTCAAAAAGCAAAAGCTAGAAATTGCATTTGACCCAGCTATTCCCCGTTTAGGTATCTTTCCAAAAAAGCTAAAGACATTGGTATTACAATGATACTCGCACACCCATGTTTACAGCAGTACAGTCCATAACAGCTAAATCTTGGAAGCAGCCTGTACTTGCATCAACTGATGAATGGATAACGAAAATGTGGTATTTACATTCGATACAGCATTACCCTGCCATAAAGATCAATTTACCTCGTTTTTAGGCAAATGGATGCACCCTGAAACCATAATTTTGAGTGAAATAAATTGGACACATGAGCTCATATATCACATGGTTCTTCTTATGTGAGAAACCCAAAATATAAATAAAGAGCAAAATGAGAGATGAATAATGAGAAGTAGGAAGAGAGATGTTTTTCAAAGGAGATGAAAAGATGGGGAAAGAGGGAAGGAAAAGGCATGGAAAAGGTTATTGAGATGTGTTGTATTCACGTAGTGGCTCTGCACAAGGAATACAAACATTAGGTACAACAAACATAAAGTAATAAAAGAAATGCATGGATGAAGGGACAGAGATAAACATGACAAGATGTTCACTGAATCTGAGGGAGAAAAAATAATTCTGTTCCAAACTGTGCCCAAGATTTCTCATCCTGTTTCCTGAGCACTCATCAATGAGAAATTGTGGCTTAGGACAGAATTACACACTTGAATTTTGTTTGCATGATGATTCTAAAAGTTGACAAAACTCTGAACGGAAAGAGATCAGAATGGAATAAAAATTACCTTACATCTTTCATCACTCTCAATAAACTAAGTGGGGGAGTTTAGCAGGAGTCAAGAAAATCAACATACTGGAAACTTCTTTCTGGAAATCTGCTTCAAATTCCAAATATACTTCTTCTTGTTGTTGTCTTACCAAGGGAAAACCATGTCATAATCCATGACAAGAATTAGAAATTCTTCTGAATGTGCCCTGGAGATAATATAACTATTTTTTCAGCCAAAGTAGTTCAAATAACCTTGGTACTTAGAAAAAAGGATTGTTTCTCCTATGTAGGAATTATTTTCCGTCCTTGAAAGAAATCCAAGAGACTGACTCAGTTTCTCTCGCAAATGTTAAATAAGTCCTTGGTAGACCACGCAAGAGTAAATGACTCATTGAGAAGCATTGCATGTTAAATTGAATATTCAACCTGCTAATAAGCATGTCACATATTCCATTTTAATTTGAGTCACAGATATGCTACTGGCTTTGTAATGGAGAAATCCAAAAGGCATAATGATTCCCAGACATTATTCAAGCATTAAATATAGAACTGTACCAACATACATTGAAATATCAGATATTTACCATAATGGAAAAGTCAAATGAAGAGGCATAATTCATAAATAACTAAAGAAAATGAAGATAATTGCAAAATACAGGGAGCTTTTCAATCTAGTTGGAGGTTATACACATATTTGCATATCTACTTAAACAACAAATTAAGATACAAATTAAAATTTCTAAGACAATTATCCAGTCCTTTTGAAAAAATAGAATATTTTTAATATTTTAATGATAAGAGAAACTATAAAATAAATATTATTTCAACACTTGTTTTGAAAGTTGGGTGAATAATTAGCATAAATTAGCATAAACCCCCCAAATACTTGCTGACTGGGCTTGCTAAGTTAAATGGTGCAAGCAATTATATCTCAGCAGTAGAGAGTATGTTTTGCATACACAGGGCCTGAGGTTTGATCCTGAACTCTGCTAAATAAATAACTTATGATGAAGAGTATTAGATTTCCATCAGTGTGAAAAGAAAAAGTCTAAGCAAATGAAGTTCCATGAGGAAAGATTTACTTGGGCTCACTGCTCCAGAGGTTCAGTCCATGGTCAGCTGACTCCATGGGTTCTACTCCGGGGTGAAGAATTTGTACCGTAAGATGTGAAGAGCAAAGTTGCTCACCTCATGGATGCCACAAAATAAAGACAGCAAAAATTGAGTCAGGGAGACAAAATGTCTTTCAAAGTATTTCCATTTGTAGCTTATGATCTCTAATTAGGCCTTGCCTTTTCAAATTTCCATCATTTCCCAAAGGCTCATTCATTAAATTACGAATCCATCAACAGTGTAACCCACCGCTGAGGATAGCTCATGATCCACCTAACCAAAGTCCCACCTCTGAATACTGCTGCACTGCAAACAAAACCCTTCCCAAGTGAACTTTTGAGGGACATTTTATAACTGAACCAACACAGATGCATGTAGTAGTCTTGGTCAAAGTATTTACTAATTGAATTTAATAGTTCATAAAGATAAGCAACTCACGTGCCTAGTTATTTAAAGAACTCTATCATGGGTGCATCCCAGGGACATTGAAGTTTTCTGAGTACGAAAAAGTGAGTAGGAAGAAAGTGAGTTTGAGAAACAATAACCCAGCTGAGAATGAGTTAGACAAGAGAATAAACTGAGTTAGAACAACCAGAAGTCAAAGTTTCTTTCATAATGGTTACCTCACAACAAAATATTAAAACTATTCTGACACAAATTTGTATTAGATGTGGAACCTTAAACATGCCAGTATTGTTCTCTTTATATTAGGAATGTTGCTCCCTTTCTCACCCAAGTCGTGAAGAGTGCAGTGATCTCCCTCTGTAGGTACAATCAGTGCAAGAATTCCGAAGAAGTCGGACTTCTCCTAACAAATGACCTGATATCTATTTTTTAGGAAATTCATCCTTGATTAACCTCTCCGTTTCTCAGTATTTCACTTTGTATCCTTAATTTAGTAACAGTTCGACTCATGCATGAGGCTTAATTGAGCTAATATAGATAAAACAAACAATTTTGCCAGATATATAATCAATTCTATGTTTTAGTTATTAGTATCATTACCTATTATCAATTAACTAACACATATATGAGATTCATATCTATTCTTAATGCCCAACTATAAGTAATGCAAATGCCCTAATCAAGGGCACATCTCAGAAAATGATTGTTTAACTATTGTCCAAATGTCCCCAACATAGTTTTTATTAAATGGACAGACTGTTTCTCCTAAAATTTACTTCCTTTTTAAGAGAGTAGAGCAATGACATAACACTTTTTACTTTCTCTTCTCTATTGATAAAGATACTGTAATATTTTCCATCTATAGATTCTCATAAAACAAATGCAGTTTAAAAATGTATCCATTCACTTGCCCCAAAAATACACATCAATAAACAACTTCAATTTGCATCCCTCCTTTTACCAGACAGTGATAGTTTATCTGACACTGTGTTCTGTATTTGTTAGTAATGCCCAGCCATTGATGTTTGACCAACTGATCCCTAGCTCATAGCTGTAAGCCTTGAATATCAATCTGCATGAGGCTCTGCAGAGAGGACAGATTAATCCATAACCCAAATATAGGTCTCTCCCAGGAAAAATGAATCTCTGTTGTTGGGATGGTAGGAAAAGTGGTTTAAGGAGTGGCTCCATGTGAGGGGCTCAGTGTCATTTCCCAGTTGTGGCGTGGCAGGTGACATGGAGGAGCGAAATGGCTATGCTCACTTGGATCACTGGAAGCTCACACTCCTGGGCTTATGTGGAAAGAGAAATGACCAGCTCTGTGATGGATGATGACAGTGATTGACAATAATCAGCTTGCTAAGTCATTCTGGCCTGTTATGTGCAGCTCCCTCTATGATGGATGCTTCCTGAGATTGTCACTGTGGAGTACAAATATGTTCACCATGATGCTCATTTCCATCATCTGTTCACCTTCTATTCTCCCAGTTTCTTCTTCCCTGACTACCAACGTGCCCCCTTCTCATGACTGACCACTTAACCAAGGCATTTGCTGTTGCAGGTGAATCTATATCCTTAATCTTGGCCACTTCTTTTCCCATGTGAAGTAGATAAATCAGAACACAGCAGGATGTTCTGCTCATAGATACAATTTCCCATCTCCACTCTCTCTAAAGACCACATCTAAGTGTGGCTGTGCTGTGTTCTGAAAAATATCTCCCCAAATTAATATGCTGAGATTTAATTCCCAATGCACTAGTTTGGAGAGGAGGTAGGAATAGTGTGAAGAGGTGATGGAGTTACAAAGGCTCTTTCCTTCTGAATGAGAGTAAAGACATTACAGAATACATTTCACAGTTCTTGGTTCTTTTGCCCCCCACCATCTTAAGTCATAGTGCACATTTTCTTCCACTGGAGGACACAGAAATGAGACTCCTATCAGACACTGAATGCTCGTGTCTTTATCTTGCAATTTCCAGCTTCCAGAAAAATAAGAAATACATTTTGGTTCTTTCTCATTATTCAGATGTATGACTCTTGTTATTTAGGAATTTTGTTTTTCAGATTTATGAGTTTTGTTAGGAAGGTGAGAGATGCAAAACTTTGATGGGATTTCTTGGCATGTCCTACTCTTGAGCCTGAAAAGGTTCCTAATCTTCACAGAACATAGGTGGGTTAAGACACACTGTAATATGACCACCATCTACTTCTGACTAATGCAATATAAAAAGCTTTACTACATGTTTTTTCTTCTTAGTGGTGGGAAGGTAAGAGGAGGAAATCTTTGTCACTTAGTTTGATGGGATTTATTTACATATCCTACCCATGCATCCTAAATGATCCCTAAGTTTCAAAGAATGTTTCACCCACTTTCTAGATCAATGTGTTTGACAAAGGCTTGCAATGTACCCAGCACATATTATTCAAATATCTGATAGCCATTATGCCATCCATACAGTAGGCCAATAGGAGACTCTGTGGACAGAGAAAGTGGTCAAAACCCTCTTATTCTATTCTATGGCAGAGAGTGAAGAAATGCATAAAGCTTAGGCAAGAAGATAGATGTACAGTTTGGTCTATTTTGTATAACATTACATATGGTCATTATTTGTCCCAGTTACTTTTCTCATTGCTGAGACCAAATACAGGACACCGGAAGTTAAAGAGGAAAAGGTTTGTTGAGCTTCCAGTCTGTAGAGGTTTCAGTCCATAGTTGGCTGGCTCCAAGGCAGAGTGGTGCATGGCAGGGGGCAACAGTTCAACAGGATGGGGAAGTTAGCAAAAGCAATAAGAGACCTTAATAGCATCTTCTGGCCCCTTTTGTTTTATCCACACTACTTAGGTTGAGTAGCATTCACACCTTTAATCCGAGCATCCTGGAGCCGAGCACTGCACCATGAGTCACTGCCAGTGTCATACACTGTAGATGCAGTCACCTCTGAAAAAGGCCCATGCCATTCTCACGGAGCTGGGTCAGGGGGGCATCTGAACATGACACATAACATTCTGGCCCAGTGTCCTAGCTACTTTTCTTTTCTTGCTGAGACACAATATCCACCACCCCAAATTAAAGAGGGAGAGTTTTTTTAGCTAACTTTTTGTAGAGGTTTCATTCCATAATTGGCTGGCTCCAAGTTGGAGCGGCTTGGAGGAGGAGCATTGCAGAGGAGAAGCTCCTAGCAAACAGAAGATAACAAAAGAAAGCAAGGAAGGGAGAGACAACCCTTTTCCTGTCTCCGATATTGTATCCAGGCTACCAGGAAGAGGGAAGTACCAATTGGTGGACTGAGCCAGCAATCACTTACCCTTAATCCTAGCACTCTTAATCCTAGCATTGTATGATGAATCAATCACACATTCTAGATTCATCCATCTTCAAAAAAGCTCTACCCATGACTGCATGAGGCTTTGGTAGGACATCTAGACATAAACCATAACAAGTTGAGGGAGGAAAGGTTTATTTGAGCTCACAGTTTATAGAGATTCCAAGGGATGGTGACATGGCAGAGGTTAACAGCAGAGGAGAAACAGTCCATGGCAAGGCAGACAGGTGGCAGCAGCCAGCAAGCCTTCCTTTCCCTTTTATCCCACCCAGGCTACAAGCGCTTTTAGTGTTGCGCCCACCAGGGTGGGGTTTTCATTATCCACACCCAGGACTATGTTAAACCAATTTGCCATATCAATGGCTGAATATATTTAAGGCCATGTTGCTTTGCTCTTGTACATATACCGGATTTACCATAGTAAGGGATATTATCTAGTAAAGTTTGGCATAGTTAGCTTTCATTCTCTATGACTCATCTGCTTCTTTGGAGGGGTAGAAGCCTTAGTATATTGCTCAAGGTGATTTTGCAACCCTGGTCAAAACAATCTTATCTCAGCCTCATGAGTAGCTAGGACAGAAGAGTACACCACCACATTCATCTCTGCCTGCATTTTGCAGTGCGCAAGTGAGAAATTAAGATATCACAAATTATTCTGTACATCTTTAAACAAAAATAAAATAATGGGAAAATGGGAGATAGATTTTTCTGAAAATGGAAAGAAGTCCAGGAAGTGGCAGCAAGGGGAGAAAGAGGAAGGAAAATGATGTAAAAGTAATTAAGATGCGTTATATACATGTACCAACTTCCCACAATAAATGTGTATAGCATTGCATATGTACTAATGAAAGTAAAAGTTTTTAAAAATGCAAAACAGTTAAATTATCAATGCTTTTTGTTTTGGGGTGTGATGCTATTTTTCATTCACTATCTCACCTGGGGATAAGGAGAGGCATATTCAGAGATTTCTACTTGAATATAAATTCTGCCCATTCCAAATATTCTTTAGTAAATTAGGAGGTTTTGTGCACCCAATGTGCTGCTATGAGCTGATCAAAGATAAACAATTCATTTATTACCTGGCCCCCATGTGATTCCGCTCCAGTCACAACAGCGAAGCGAGACATTGGATGGCTGTGACCATCAGAAGATACTCAGCCTGTGTGTTCAGTAATCCATTCAGGGTATGAGAATTCTCTCCTCAACATGTGGCCTTGGTTACTAGATTGGGGAATAAGGTCACTGTTTAATACTTTGTTTTACAAAGTCTTTCTTTCTGATAATTCAGGCTCTCTTTTAATAACTGAGTTCTGAGTCTGAAAAGTGGTGCATATTTAAAAACTGATTGAATTGTATGTCATGTATGACATATTACAGTTCTATCATCCCAGTGGCATCAAAGAGCTCAATTTTATAACTGGGTCATCTAGTCTTCTGTCTAGCTTCCAAAGACTGCCATCATTGAATTTGCCAGTGCTACTAGGACCCTCATGAGTGCATTACTATTTCGGCAGTAGGCTGTTCCCTGGGCCCTGCTCTCAGTATTTTAACTGCCGAGGTATATTGGTTTACTTAGCATATTTTCCCCTTGTATTCCTAATTCTCTGAGTCTTTTAATCCCTTTCTGACTATTTTACATCTCTTTGATTTGACATGGAGATATTCACCTAAACTCCCACAAGCCATCTTAATAAAATGGTAGCACTGTTTCTGAGAGTCTGCATCAGAATTTTAAAATCTAGGAGAGGGATTCCACATCCACAGACTCTTGCTTTCCCAGTTTCCTACAGGACACTTTCTGTCTCTGTTATATTTGGTGTCCTTAAGATCCAGTCTTATGCTTGCTCTCCTGGTCCCTGCCTAGGCGGGTGCCCTAGGTCTTGGGGGATAAGCACTTCCAGAGCCAGAGTTACATAACAGGTGTTTGTTTGGCACTAAGAGAAGTAGGGGCCGATTCTGGGGCACCCATCCATCATGTTGCAAGACAGAGACTCTACATCTTCTTCAAACAGCAAAGCAAAGTATGGGTGGAATGAAAACAAAGTGAGACCGTTCTGCCTCCCCAGAGACTTCAGAGACATTTTAGCTTTGAGTCCATTAACCCAGCCTCCTCCACCCCACACTCTGTAGATTACTCTTCCCTAATTAAGATGCTGCCCTTGGCATAGCAGACTTGCTGGGACAGCGAATTATCTTTATTTCTATTCTTATCATAAAGTCCTCAGCTTAAACTTTGCATTTAGATACCATGCTGCAAGAGATAAGATCACATTTGTAAGTTGCTCGGCCGGTATGCTCACTTTCCCACTTCACTCTAAACTGTTGACATAGTGACCCGAACCTTGAACCTTTCTTTGTCATTTTCCAACACATCAATGCTACTGAACAACAACCATCCGATTCCATTGCCCTTTACATTGTGAGTCCCTTGAGTTAATGCATGGCTACAACATTCCCCTCCAATGTATCCCATTCCAGTTAATCACTGGAGAGAGTTTTTATACTATCATCATGAAGCATGACAAGGTCAGTCAGCTCTGTATCCACCCGGGATCAGGTCTTCATGGCTAGCCAGTCAGCAGGTGATAGAGCTCTAGAATCCCTCTTTGGAATCTACGTCTATGATCATTCCTGGCACTAACTCTATTATGTCATACTCATCAGGAAACATTCAGGTGAAAACTGCTCAGAAAGTATAACTAGGAAGAAATGAATGTTACAATACTGGTCAGAAGGAGAAACTTAACTTCAGTGAAGTAGCAACAAAAGTATCAGCTGGCCCCAGGGAGAACTCGGGAGCTGGGAAGACATTTGGTGGATGTCCCAGATTTTGACAACTCAGATAAGTCTTTGCATCCCCCAGTGACATGTAAGTAATAAGTGAACTTCCTCCTAAAAGAAGCCATGAACTTTGGTGGGAAGAAATAAATTTCAGGGGAGAGAAGAAAATCCAACAGCTGATAAGGAATACTTGAGACAAGGGAGCTATAAAAGACTCCATTCACAAAGTGGAATATGGGTGTTTACTAAATTATTATTTTTTTCTCTTTGTAGATCAGGATTTGTGAGTTCTTAGGAGATTTAATCTCTTGTTCAAAGTTCCATAGCTTGAACACCATAGCAATGGAATTTAAGAGCATGTTTTCTCTCCTGGATATCGGCGTGTATTACTTTTGTATGGTGGGCTTCCTTACTCTTAAAGAATGAACCTTGTGGGGCAAGTGTTTCCAAAGCTCTAAAATCCTTGATAACTTAAACCATTCTTTACATCTGTGATACACATGGCCTACATTGGGAGAGCTCTGCCGTAACAACCAAAACCACTGAAGAATTCCACCAAGTGCTATTTGAACATCTGTATTCCCTTCATCAGTTTACAAGACGTATTTAATAGATAGTATTCACTTGCTTTTTGCCTGTCTTTCTCCTACAAAGCAGAGAATGTTTCATTCTGGCCAATGGCTGGCAAAGGGGCTCAACAGTTTTTAGGATTCTATAGCTAACTGGTGAACAAATTAATGGATGTATAATACTCTTTTAATTTCCCGCACTTTATTTGCTTTGACCATCTTACATCAGGTTAGGACTGCGACTCACAACTTTCAATGTGACGTTCTAACAACGTGGAATCTTCTAGCACTGAGAAAAATTACTTAGAATGCCTGATGTCCTGTCCACCCATATATGGAATGGGATCTACCTACTTCGTGCTGTTAATCTCAGAATAATAGGAGAGAATGACTCGGAGAATCCCCTGATACGTAAAGTTCACATAAATAAAATATTTGATTTTTAAATACTGAAATTGTTACAACTTAAAGGCAGGAATATTTCGAGAATTGTCTTTCTCGATCTTTGTCAGTAGTAATCATTCACCATTTTGTTTACTTCTGTGTTTTATTCCCTCAATTATAAATAGTACACGGTGTGAGGGCTGGCGTGCATCATGTTTATATTCCCTTGCATTTCCCTGGGCAGTGTTCATAGAAAAGAGTCAGTAAAACTCCTGAGTGCTCTAGTGCTCTCCCAAATAATTTCATGTGCAAAACCTATTTGAGTGTTTTACTTTTTTGCTAATATGCAAAATGTCATCATCTACATAGCCTTTAAAACTGTGCTTCATATGATGTCTTTTATCTATCTATCAAATGTTGTTCAGAGAGAGAGAGAATTGTATCAAATTTTCCCCTAATAGCTTGAGATTGATTAGACAATAGGAGAAAAGAAAGCAAGAAAAGCTCCAGATAAGAAATGGTAAGTTGGAAGTAAAAGTAATATTGACTGAAAAGAAACAGAGATTTTTCTTTGCCTTTTGAAATTGACTCAAATTTACTTTTGAAGTCATTTTCAGCGGAAAATAGATTAAAAAGCCGGAGTTCTTTCAAGGGACCATCTACTTCTTTTATCCTTTGTGCTTTTCAAGAAAACACAAAAGATAGGTGGGGCCCGTGAAGCCTAAACTGCTTTCTTAAGTGGGAGAGTGAGCCTCCAAGAAGAGGTCCTGTACCCTGAAAACTATCCAGTGACTTAAAGGTTGGAGTGTACTGAAATGGACAGAATTTCATTTTATGACACTTAAAAATGCTGAAAAGGAAGCATTTCCCAAATTCACTGCCATAGCACATGAACTATGTATATATGATCTAAGGTTCATGAAGTAAATGTAACGGGCAGATTTATAGACGTGTGTGTGTGTGTATGCGTGTGTGTGTAATTTCAGCAAAAAATCTAGATTCAGAAAAATCTAGATTTGATGGCACCCGAGTTTGTGTCAAATGATTTCAAAAATAGACAGCAGTTCTCATTTTTCCACCATTCTCATTTTCCTGAAGTAGATTTTTTTTCTTATAGAATGAGCCACACCACAAAACTTAGAGGAAGAAACACATCCCCAAGTAAGACATCCCCAGGACATACGCTGCAGCGCCCTTCTTCCTAAAACTGTGGACTCACTTCCTTGGAATGTTTGTCACCACCATCCTAGAAAATTCATTCTATGACTCCAGAACAACCGTCTCAAACAGAATCTGGAAATGAGTGCCTGTGGAATTTATAAGAAATGATTCTTTTGGAAATGGGATCGTAATGCTCAATCACTCCTTTATCAAGCCATTACTCCAAAGCATAGAAGCCCAAGACTGAAGCAAATAGCGCGGAATGACCAAAACATGGACTGGTATAAGTGGCACTCTTGCTGGTCCCAGTTGGTCTCATCCTAATCCTTCTCTGACATTAATTATTATAGGAAGGTATTTGTATGTTATTATAAACCATAGCCAAGATATTTCCTTTTCCTTTCAGATAGATAGTAATAAAGGTTACAAATTAATGAACGTGATGAAAAGTCCTGGAGGTAATAGGCTTTTTTTGAGAACTGATTAATTGTCTAAAAATAGATAAGTACACAAAATTTTTATTTTAAATTCAAGTTATTGTACCTTTGTTCTGAAGAAAGTAAAAGAATGCCTTTCTGTGCACACTGTCTAATTAAAGATACAACACATGCACAACAGAAATGACCTGAGAAATATTTAGGTATAGACAGGCAACAAATGTACAGTCAATGGCAAGAAAGCCGGGGCACTCCCACTATTCGAAAGCACTCATATAAATATATATTTGTAATATAATATACATTTATATTTGTAAGGGTACAGAAAAAATGTGAGTTGGATAACTTAGCCCTTAGGCAACCATTCTGCAATATTTGAAAAGGAAAATAGATACGAGGCAAAAAATGTCATTGAGGCAGAGCCTGGGGAATGCTCACTGCAGCTAGGAAGAAAGCACAGACACAGCCTTCTGCTGCAGAGATTGCAAACCACACATTCTTCCCGTGTTAGGAAAAGACACTGCAGTCAAGATTTTCCCACAGTTTTAGTGCATTATTATCTCTAATAATGCATATCATAGATCATAATGTATAGATAAATGCATAGTTAATAATGCATATCATCTAATAATGCATATCACAGAAGACATAGAGCACACTGAAATTCATATATAACATTCTAAAAATGCTTTAATTCCTGAAGGAGTGACCAGGTTAAGGTTTCTGTAGGAACCCTGCCTGCTTTCCAATGTGTGTGCATCTGCTGCTGGAATTTCAGTGATGGAACTTTTGCCTCTGACTCTTTCTGCCACCATAATTCAATAGTGCTCTGACTACACAGTGATACTTTGGAACTGCTGTTGTTCGTATATTTTATTAGGATTGAGAAAGAGGCAGGGAACAAAAGGAAAAAGAGGGTAACGGACAGGTTTATGAAAACAACAACAACAAAAATCTGCAATGACATTAGCAATCATTAGCAATGACAAGAAATATACATTTATATTTATAAGATTTGTGAATGCTGATGAAATCCTCCATTACTTCAGCACCTGGCATAGTTAGTGTTAGTTATGTGGGATTAGTTCATTTCATCTGAAAATTGGCTTTAATTTTAACGATGAAACTGTATTTCAGATGATAGAAGCACAGAAAACCTTCTGAGGTACACACTCTAAAGGTATGATCTGGTGGTGGGTATCAATAATACTGCTTTGTAAAGGGGAAACTATATATCAATATAAACTCACCAATCAAGGTCTATATTCCGAAGTCTGACTTTCCTAAATGGTGATCATTATCAGAAGTATGATGAACTTTTATTTCTACCTCATTACAGAAAAGCTAAACATCTCAAAAATGTTCATATAACCATGAGGAACATATATATCCATGCACATATGAGTATCGGTGAATATGAACACACACGTACATGCACACATGTACAAAAGCATGTCTGAATGGCTTTAGTAAAGCAAGGTTGAAAAAATAAATGGAAGTTGTTTGTTTCCTCATTACATAAACCTTTTTTGTATGTGTTTTCTTTCTTTCTTTCTTTCTTTCTTTCTTTATTTATTTATTTTTGTACTGGGGAGCAAACTCAAGACTTTGCACTTAACAGGCAGGTGGTGGCACCACTGAACTGAATCCCCAGCCCCTTGTGTGTTTTCTAATCCTCTTCCTCCCCAGCCACTCGTGTGTCCCAACCTTTACCTCAGTGGGGTCCTTGATATAGACTTCAGTGCTACTAAATGATTTACTTGGGATCAAGGGATAGCTAAGTTCGGTAGCATCTGCAGTTTATTAATTTCTTTCTATGAGTTTTTATTATCATTGAGTAACTTGTTTAGTTTCTTTGCACTGTCTTCTTTATTCAGCTTAACTTAGTGCTTCATAACAAAAAGATCATGAAGCTCCCCAGGGGAAAATAAGTTTGGTTTTTATAATCAGACAAAATCATATGTGATTGAGTTCTGTTTCTCTGTTAATGCACCCGGTGCAGTAAGGCTAGAACGTGACATTGAATTAATATTCTTGCTAATCAAGCAGTGACTCCACTTTCTTAGAGCATCTGGACATCTCTGTGTT